CCCCCCGCTCCAAACCCTTTCCCCCTTCCCAGCCCTTGGCTGCAGCATCAGGGAGGCGGGAGTGAGAGAACTGGCCCCGGGTGGGCTGGGGGGAGAGAACACACTCCTGGCCCAGCACACACCCACATCCTGAAGGCCCTGCCCTGAAAGACTTGGGCAATGCCACGCAAGTCTGCTAGTAGTTAATAAATCTCATAATACTTGGGAAATTCCAGGGGACTGGAAGGAAAAGTTGGGATCATTGGGATAATTATAGGCCAAACAGACTGACAGTGATCCTGGGTAAAATAATGGAATGGCTAATACAAGACCCAACTAATACAGAATTAAAGGATGGTAGAATTAATTCCCAACAAGAAGCAAAATGTTTTGACTTCTGCAAGATTCTGTATCTCATGACATGCTGAGTAAAGCGGTATCATTCAGAAATCCACATAGCACATATTCAATGGATTAGAAACTTGTCAGATTTCAAAATGTCAGTGCTAAAAGAGACTCATCCTCAAGATGCTGGGCTTCTGGTGGGGAGCCACAAGAATCAGTTCTCATTGATAAAGATGTTCAATATATTTGCAATCATCTGGAAGACAATATAAAATCCAATTATTTAAATGTTGCAGATGACAAAAGATTGGGTTGTAATACCTCTGTATTTGACACAGGTGAGATCATTACTGAAATACTATCTCTCTGCTCTAGTTATTTATTGGGCTTGATGAGGAATGTGCAGGGTGAAATTATCTGGCCTGCGTGACACAGAAGATGAGACTAGTGATCATAATGGTCTCTTCTATTTTTAACATTTATGACTTTATAAGTATTGAATTTCCTGTTTTTGCTGAGGATTCTTTGGAGGAGCCAAGAACACCAGTGGTAACTATGGCAATGCTTAACTGAAGGAATGGGATTGTTACTCTTCCTTACTGATTTTTTCCTCCAAAACTGTCAAGCATTTGAGTTAGGTAGGCATTAACAAATAAACAAACCACCACGATTATAAACAGAATAAACACTTCTTCACACAAGTTCCATTTCCTTGGTGCCTACAATGTCATTTTCCTACTAGTTCTTCAGTCATCCACACAGTCTTTAAAGTAGACAATACCTGAATTTCTAATATACTTTTAAGTTTTTTTTGCCAGCACACCTTTACATAAAGAACTGAACAAAACAGCAACCCTTTTATTACTTTTGCAGATTCTTTAAAGTCTGGATGTCAAAATTCATTCACAAGTTAGCAGCCACAGGCCAAGTGGACATTGCATTAATAAGTTTCCCTAAGAAAGCAGCCAGTGGTTCTGTCACTATGCTCTATGACACAATTCTAACTCAATGCCCCAGCAAGGTGTTATGAGGCATTTTGCTGATGGGGACCCCTTCTTTTACATGAGACATAAAAGGGAGGCACTGATTACTTAGAACCAAATGATACTCAGTCCTCTGTGGTTCAAGAGCCAAATTACTAATCAGCATTACCCAGAAGACCCACAGTAGTGTGAATTCATGGTTTCATTCCCCATGGTACTAGGAATATTAAATAATGGTTAATTGAATAGTCGGTTAACCTCATGAATTTTTATTGGTTACTTGACTATTCTATAGTCCCCGGGGGTGGGGGCCAGCAGCCAGTGCGCTCTGGGCCCCACTCCTGAGGAGCCCCCTGCTCGGGTGCCAGGTGGAAGCACCAGGTGCCAGTTTAAAAACCAGCTCCCCTTACAGACCGGATGCACCCCACACTGCTGCCTCTGATAGAGGCAAAAGTGCATGGTGGCAACAGACCCTATATAGGGGGTGGGTCTGAGTTCCCAGACCGAGTTCAAGCCAGAACTAAGCCAAAGCTGCCTGTTCACCTGGCTCCTAACAAGCTTTAAATGCAGAGCTGCAGTGGGGGTAGGTGCTAGGACTGAGCCAGGCTGCTGGCCAGTCTGCTAAAAAATTTACTGGGGGTGGAGGGAATGCATGTAGCCTATAAACGTTTGCTTATCGGTTAATCAACTACACTATTACATCCCTACATGGTACTGTTCATATTTAAGCAACATGACAGGAAATATTTTGTTTTTACATATATAATTCTCACAACAAAAAAGTCAATAACTTGATGCAACTGGATAACAATTAACTGACATAGTAAAAGCATCCTGATTAGTGAACAATTAAATCACGATAGTGATTGTGAACCATACACATACAGCTTGTGAACCATAGTCTGAGTATCACTGTGGTAACCACTGAAGACACTAACACACAATGCTATTTACCTATGTTTACCTCCGTGTCTTCAAGCACTATTAAACTCAGCCCTGACATAGACCTGAAACTTGTGAAAATTTAGGCCAGGTCTACACTAGGGGGCAAAGTGGAACTAAGTCACACTACATGAATAGTGTAAACACTCAAATAGTCCCAAGGAATCAACATGTCTGTTTTTGCAGGACTTGGGATGGAACTTCTCAGGTGGTTTCAGACTAATACAGCTAATCTTCCCTTACAGTCCTAACCTGTTTGTGCAAGGCTGCTGTTGGACAGTAGCCGCATTCCATGTGCACAGCACACACTCCACAGCAGTGAAAAATGGAAACCCGGCTTTAAGTTCTTGCTGGAGCATCTGCACCCTAAGCTGCTGGGAGAGCAGCCCTTTCCCGGAGCACAGACAGAACTTTGCAATGCCCAGTGCACACTTCCCAGTCTGAGACCTCAGCTGCCTTCAGAGGACGGCAGCCCTGCCCCTGACTTCGGGCTGTGCACACAGGGACAGGCGACTCCTGGCGTGGCACATACAGCCCATGTACACACCAGGGCCTGTCTCAGGGCCACAACCAAACCAAGCTGGAGGGAAGCTACAGTTGGCCTGTACCCCGTGCCCCACCTCCCCCACTGCCGCCGGGGAGGGGGTGGGCCTGTACCCCGTGCCCCACTCC